TTGCAAATTTATTTCCAAGTCAAAAATGCAAAGGAGGAGGAGAACTCTTGTAGCAGAATGGATAGTCTACATTTACAGGGTATATTAAGACATTTGTAATGGCCCTTAACACAAAAGAAAAATGCTTTAGAAGTGGATTAATTAGTTTCTCTGATAATCTTTCCTAGCTTTTGAATTTCCTTTTATTCCATTTTAAATTTATGGCCTCAGTATGACATTAGTACAGTTTATTGCATCTTGCAGGTGGCATTCATATGTTGTTACTTTATGTGCAGGACATTGTGGGCAATGAGTTACAATTTTTTGTTAAAAATTTCTAGAACCACACAAGTACTTCTTAATTAGACTTGCAAATGAGTAAAGTCTTTCTTCAAGGGGGGAAAATAGTTAAAACTTTACAGGAATTTTTTGTGCCTCTTTCTTTTAGTTAATAGTAGGGAAAGTTGGCAATAAAGTTTGCTTTTTGAAACTTTGACATATTTTAGTAAGTTCTGATTTACATATGAAGTCATCCTTTGACAATTCCAAACAAATGCCTTTTCAGAGCAAATCCACTTTTTTGTCTGTGTGCCTGTGGCTCCAAAAGGACCCAACAGATTTATCTTGCTTTCTGCCATTCATACTAGTAGAAAGTTGTAATTTCAATGCCATTTTTAATATCTTGAATAGCTTAATAATAAATTTTCATAATTTAACAATTTACCACCTCAATTAAAGATTTTAATGGTATAACATTACCCACAAATCACCTACATTTTCTAAAAAAAAACAATTTCTAGAAAAAAATAATGCAGGAGTTAATGCTATCGATAACGTTAACACATAAAGAAGAAAAAGAATGTGCGAAGTAATACAATGCTGAGATAAAATCTTTACATTACTTCTCTGACACAGTAAGATCTGAAAGAGAGTGCAATTCCCATAAGCATGTTATTAGACCCAAACTGACCCTGAACTTAGTTCCAGAAGAGGTCAAAATTCTTAGCATTTATTCCCATGGAAGATGTCCAATTCATATTAAGTATACAAATTTTTTAAAGGTTTCAAGTGATTGCACTTGGCTTATAAGTAAAGATCTTGCATTCTTCATAATTTTTGATGCTGAAATTTTGTACTTAGAAGTATTACATTATGCCAAAAAGCCACTTACTTGATATGCCTTAAATACCATAACACAATTAAAGGAAAGTGCAGATTGTAAGCCATCTTAAATAACACTGACACAATGTGCATGTAACATACAATATAACTAACTTAATTTTCATGTAACAGATAACATCTGGGGGAAATGTGTATTGGTAAGTTATGCAAAACTAATTTTCTAGTGATCACATCTGTAGATGGTCTTTATTGTATGTTCACTTAACAGTCCATTATTCTGTTTAGAAATCTCTTCACTTCTTTATTAGAGCTTTTAATGTACTCACCTTGGTTCAAACAGTCTACTCATTATCAGAAAAAAATATAAATGGCATTCACATGGAACAATATGATTGTTTTTATTATATCCATTTGTGTGCAAGCATTCAAAAATGGCAAGAGAAGAATATTTACTGCTTTACATTTAAAGTAAAATTTAGGAGGTATTTGAAAGTCAAGCAAAACCAATCATTTGGCCAAATGGATATATGTGTATAATCAGAAACTCCTGATTTTTAATCTCAGCATTAGGCCTGAGGCAAGTCACTTAAAGTCCTTCCTTTTGTTTCTTGATATTATGGGTGCTATTCTCATATGGAAATGGGGGGTTGCTAAGTCAGGGTATCAAATAGGAGTGTTCTTTTAATAAACTTACTTGATCCCCTTTTCTGTTTTTATTTTTTCAGATTTAAGAGGTAACATATTAGACTTTTGAAGAAAAAAATGAGACAATTAGAATTCTACAGGAATGTATAAAAATAGTTATAAAACTAGCTTTATTTAATTTATTTCAACTATTCATAGAATTGAGGAAATTATAACGTTTTCAGAAAATCTAACTTAATAAAGCTGACCATGTCTTTCTGTTTTAAATAGATTTTATTACAGAACCAGTGGTGTTGTAAAACATGAGGTTTTGTTAAAAAAAAAATACAAAGGCCTAATTGTATTTTTTTAAAGAAAGTATTGCATCAGACGGTTTCATTTAAGCATATTTGCTGGCTCTGTGTTCTCACCACAATTATTGATTCTAATTTTCCTTAAACTTGTTTTTCAAAAAAGGCTACTCATTTTTAATGGGGGAAAAAATCACCATGATGCTTCTGGGCATTATGTTTCTTTCAAACTATATATTAGAAAATAGACCTTCTTATTATTATTGAAAATTTTATTTTTACCTCCATTTGAAACTGAGACTTTTCTTTTCTTTCTAGTAACTCACTAATGTAAAGAAATACAATTCTGCATTGGACAGAAAAACATAGCTGTAGTCTGGTTCATTAATAATATGCAAACTGTCTAAAGAAAAGAAATTCTCACCCCCTCTTTTTGTGCATAAATTAAATCAATTTAATAGTTATATTAGCTACACTCATAGAAAGGGGGAAAAGCCCAACTCTCAGCCAGAATTTCAGCTTATTGGAATAAAAGGGAGCTTCACTTTACTAAAACAAATAGTTATGTTGAGGCAAAAAGTTCCAAGTTTCCAAGAGTGTAACCAATAGACACACACACATACACACACACACACACACACACACACACACACATCACACACACATTGTAGTGCCAACGACCAGGAAATTGGGTAGTTGGTGAGTAATTCAGATGAACCATATAAAGGAATGCAGACCACAGGGGTGTGAGGGATGAAATGAGAGACTTGAACACAAATATCTGTTTTCATTTAAGTGTATGATCTGGTGGGGAAAAGGGCACAAGGGGGAGGATGGTAGAATCTGTTATTACCAAAATGGAGAGGCTGTCTATTGAGAACTGCGCTGGAGGGTGAGGGTGAATTCGCAGGAAGGTCTGTCCTGTGTATAGAAAAGCACAGCAGTGAGACAGATGTGGTGACAGCACACAAGATAAAATTCTGCTTCATTAAAAGAAAACAATTTTACCTTGCAAATCAATTCAGGCTTACTTTCTCAGTGCCTGAAATAAATTCAGTAAACTCCAGTTCTTTGTTCTTTTCAATGTCTCACTCCCTCCCTGCACCCCAAACCATATTTTTCACCAAATATTAAAGTCTGTACCACCAAATAAATATTTCATCATTTTCCCTTCTCTCTGACTCCCACAAGCAGCTTCTTTATTTTACCCAAAATATGTTTAGCTGTTTCCTTTTCCAAGCTTGGGAAAATAAGAGCAATAGAAGATGTGGGGGGATACCAATCCAAGAGTAGTAGAATTAGGTACAAATAATTTTGTGAGAAGATGCAAATGCTTGTACACCCCACCTAAAAGATGGCTTCTGAATGTGCTGAGTGAAAAGAACTGTTCTGACGCGTTTTCTCAATTTTCTGTTCTGATGAACATTTAGTCAACTTAAAATAAACAATCTGGAATGATGTCATCTAACAGAATAAAAAGTCATTGCTTAATAAGATCAATAACTTCCAAGTATGGCAACTTGATAACATATTAAAGTTTCTTGAAAACTGCATAGGCCAAGAAGTGAGCACACCAGAGTTTAACTCCTAGCTCTGTCACTAGGGAATCATTTGACCTTAGGCCAACCATTTAGCTTCTTGGGTTCCAAGTCTCCTTGCCTTTAAAGTTAGGACAGTTCAGTGCTTCTATATATTCACACTAGGCAACAACTTCCTGTAAACTCAAATTAAAACCACTAATACAAATTCAATGCAAAATGCACATACACTGGTCAGACCAAGAAATAACTTAGCTTCCAGTACATTTCAAAACATATCTCAGTCAAAACACATTAATATGCAAATAATGAAATGTAACATGTAAATTTATGTGAAATATTGTAGAGAAGTTAGAAACCAATGTATGATTATTTCATTATTTTTCTCTATGCTTCATAAGATGGTCATTTTTCAATGAATTTATACATTTCTAGAGTTTAGTCTCCGAACTAGTAAGAGTCTGACTTTCTCAGAAAACAGTGAGCAACTTCATCTCTGAGCTGCAATAATAAGCTCATGAGAATTTACTGTACAAACTGGAACAATTTATTGATTTATAGTGAGGAATGTAAAAGGCATAAAAGCCAGAACATGCAAGTGGGCATGTCTTTACAGATCAATTGAGATGGGAAATTAAATTATGGTCAAAATGTTGCTTGTTAACCATGGAATTAGAACAAGAGGAACTAATTAAATGATTCAGATGTTTAATGCTATTAGTACTCTCATCTCTTCTTTCTCTCCCCCAAATTATGGTAGGATAGGCACTGCCAAAGTTGGCTTCACTGTCTTTTTTCATCTTCACTTCCAATGTTGACTATCACCCTCCCTCTGATTGATGCCCTCTTGCTAAAGAGTTGTCAACTGCTTATGGCGAAGTCTTGCCCTGCCCTCTGTGTTTTCTGTAATCTATCTGACCTGCAGTGTACTGGCTGTACATATTAATCTTTAGAGCTTTCACTGTCCTCATCACAAAGTTCTTGATGGCTACTTTATTACTGTTTTCAATAACAACTGCATTCTGCTGAGTGGCATCCATCACCACCAGGCCATCACAAAATATTACCAACTGCCAGAGCTGGAGAAAAAAAAATGCAGGGTTTTTAAAGCTTGGTTCTCCACCTACAGAGAGCTTGTAGGCATGAGTAAGGGACTGAGCCGTGAAACAAAGTACAAAATGAAATGCTAAGCTACAAAGTATAAAAAGAGATTAAGACAAGAATATAGGAAAATAAAATGTAAATAATGAGTTATGGAGCTCAGAAAGCACCAGATAACCAGGAGGTCAATAGCATCAAGAATGAGGAGGAGATGGCACATAAAATAGACCACATTTGGAAGTATGGTACATATATAAGGCAATTGGCTGAAATTGTGGTTACTTATTGAAGGTTGTCATAATTTATCTCTTTTCTTCCTTTCCAGCAAGTAATAGAGATCGTCAACCCTGCAGGAGGCCCTTTTCCAAGTCCTCTGGAAGAAGGAATCTCATTTGATATTTATTCAAAATTCATTGAGCCACCTCCAATATTAGATAAAGAAATGAAGGTAAGGTTTCTTTTGTATTTTCACTGACCCAGTTTAGGGATTATATACTTAGTGGTGGGAAGGAAAGAACCAAATGTTCTTCCATTTTCTTTGCCTCTGAGTTTTCCCAGACAGATGTAAATATTTATTTTAGCATTGATTCCAAGATGGGTTAGCTGATGGCAGTTCAGCAGCTTTAAACACTTCCATCCCATATTTCCTAATCTCTACTTTCACTTCCCCAAAAGTAAGCACTGCCTTGGCACTAGGACTTTCTCTGTCATAATCTCCATAAAGAATAAAAATACTGTACAGGGTAATATCAAATCAAAATCTCCTAGACTGACATCCTTCCTGGTACAATATCCAATAGAATTTTGAGGTTACATATTAACAAATGGATACTCCACAATTTACTTGAATGTTGTTTACATTTAATATTTTAGGGGCTAGATCAAGAACAAGGCCATGAGGAGTCCCAGCCAGAAACTGACACTTTGGACATGGATCCTTTAGTTGGCTTCACTACTGAAGATGTAAAGTCCGTGCTGGCTCAAATCACGGATGACATTTTAACAGACGTTCAGGTACTCAGTATTGATAGTTTGCTCACTTTATTATTGGGTAATTAGTACACCTTAGCTTTCATGTCTGCATACATCACCAAAACTGTGCAATCAAGAGATACTCCTGATGAAGAGGTTCAATTTAACATGCCCATACTGAGTCATCTGAGGTTCAGAGAGATCACAAAATAGATTTACCAACAGGATCTGGCATGGTATTTGTGAATCAGTTTGCAAAATCATTCAACACTGAAGACCCAACATTCAAGATGGTAAAGACTTGGTGCTGTGTTACACTGGCAGCATTGCTTATGGAGGGATAATTGGTGTACATTTCTAAAGAATCATAATTGCTAGCTAATTCTTCTCACCAAATTTCTAAGAAATAAAGGAGTCCTTAAAATCCCTCAGACAGTTTGTTCCTTTTCACATGCCACTAATAGCTAAATAATTTACATCAATGGCAGCTTGAAAATGGCTATGGCAACTGCCATCTCAGTAGCAGCAGCCAGTGAGCTATATCACCAGACTCAGCTTTATGCTCAGTTCTTTTGTATTCTCTCCAAACAAACAAATATTTCTACCTTAACACAAAGACTTACAGGAATTCACATAATCTTCCAGGCCAAAACATTTAATAAGTGGATTGCATTTTTTAACAAATTTACAATTTCCTAGAAATAACCATAATTCAGTAGGCCAACATAGCACATATTTAAAATACTAATGCATCTCAAAAGATTTAGTTGTTATCTGAACATGAGACCATATATAAAAAGCATACTATATTAATAATTAAATTAGAAAGAGCAAAAGATTACTTTGGCATAAATATGGCTTGGTACTTGTTTAATCATCGAACATTATTGCATTATTTACATGAGCATTTAATGATTTGGTGCCAACAAACTCAGCCAAAGTCCTCAGCTTAATAAGGGGTGTTTAGTGTTTACCAGAAAAAGTAGAAGAACACGTTTTACACAAAGCTTTATTGTTAACAACCCCATGAATGTAATAACTGGTTACTGTATGGAAGGGCAGAGTGCAGTTGAATTAAACTGAGTTCAGAACATATCTCCTTTTTAGATTTGATAACATTTCATCTAAATATAGTTTATGTATAATCATGGCCCTGGGCTCCTTTGCAATCCTGCGGCTCTGAAATTGTTGCCGAGGAACTACTAGGCAGCAAGAGAATTGTTTGCAGGCCCAAAAAATTGAAAACATCTTTACCAAGGTCATATTCCGTGTAGTGAACTGTATGCTCTTAACTATTCACTACATTTTTTAAATATTAGAGTCTGTAGCATTTATACCTTTACTCTATAGCAGAAAGAATATGATTATTGTATGTGCACATTATCTTCCCATTGGCCTAAAGCCATCTTGGAAGTTCATTAGCTTGCTTACCTAAATGTAATTAGGCACCAAAAGAACTTGAAGCAGAGGAGAGAGATGTGGGTCCTTTTGATGCCACAATCATTTTCATATTAAGTGGATCTGTGGGCATCAGCCTCAACAAAATTACTGCCAATTTTTCAATGAAATAGCAAGATGATGTGGATTTATACAGTCTCAAATTGATCAACCCTTTTACGTATTTTCTTTCAATAATCCTAGTAAACTCCATGTGAATAAGGAGGGCACATCCCTTGAGCAATTGAAAAATGTGATTCATAAAGATTAAGTCATTTGTCGAGAGTTTCCAGGGTCAGCAACTGACGAAAGACCCTGCCTGGGAGCTAACTATGACCTGGGTTCTAGCTCTAATACCAGTGTTATCCACAAAAACCACATCATGTCTAATACCACCAGGAGACTACTTTGAATTTTAACATACTTGTGGGGTGATGCATTTTCAGTATTTATCCTTGTATTTTGGTCGAACTCCAAGTTGAGTAATTACTCTCGACTTACCTAAATTTCTCCTCCTGTTTTAGATGGACAAGTTGTTTTCCACTTCTAAAATCTGACTTTCAGCGTTCCTAGATCTAAAAACTCCCACATCCCTTTTCAAAGTTAGCTGCACGTTAGTGGTTATTGTGCATATGCCCTCTGAACAAACATGCTATACAAACATTTAGTGAGCTATTACTTGTAAGATGGTTTAAATTCCCCATAGTTTTTTCTTCTTCTTCATTTAAAATTCACACCGTTATTACAGTTTTTTTCCAGAAAGAGAGAGTAGTGAATTCATATTTTACACATGGTTTTTAGAGTTTCTTCACTAGTGTGATTACAAGAACATATCATCTTGTATAATGCATACAGTTCTGAAATGGTAGTGTGAATCCTTAAATTTTTAGACTAATCCACTTATTTTCCAGTTGACTCATTTTATAGTTTTAGAGATTTATTAAGAATGAAGTTATCTTGGCGCTCAGCTGTTAATTAAAATTACACTGAGTAGAGCAAGCATTTTAAGCCTATATAGTTTAGGTATTTTAATTTTAAAAATATATTCAAAATGAAATTATTTTGGCCCTGAGTTGTATAATAAAAATTACACCCAATGGAGCAAACTTTAATATAGTTAAAGAATTACATTTCAGAGAAATATGAACATTAACACTAAATTCTTGCATTAAATGTTGGCTGCTGGTGTAAAAACAACCTGAAAACTCTGAGAGAAGTTTGCCTTCTTGGGACTACAGGTACCTTTAGGTCAACTTTGAATTTTAAATGTTAGAAAAGTTGAAGATCACCTCAAGTTAGTCGTCAGTGAAAAGCTATTGAATCAAGGTTAAAGGTTTTACATTCTCAGCTAAAAGAAGCAGAATTAGCTCCAGCTCCAGTGGTTGTAAAATAGTTTTTCTAATCAGCAGTATTCTTGGGGATAACAGGGAGACACTAGCAGACCAATGATAGCCTCTTCTTGACCAGTCATGAAATCTTTTGATGTAGCTCTCTTGGTTGTACTTGAACTGAAGTACTGATGCCCAAGATCTGGAGATCTGAAAGGTTACTCTCCTGTAGGTACAGCTCTCCATTAGATGCACCTTGCATTCATGAACCTTTTCCTTGAGGCCACGCTTGTTTCAATAAATTCTGTTTCACTGAAATACCAGAGGTCTCCAGATCAATATGAAACAAACCCTTGTGAGGTAGAAAAACAGAAGTTTTAAATGATGGTCCATCAGTCCTCAGCTGAAAAGCACTGAGATCACAGTGGACATAGAACAGTAATGAAAGTAGGAAGAGTTGATTGTCTGGGTACAGCTATTCTTCAATCTTTGGGAATCATGTCGAGATTATTTCTTCAAACCATTTGAACCCATATTATCCAATATGCTGTGTGCCATATATTTATTTTAATGAAACAAGAGTAAAATTTATTTTTAATTTTTAAAATTTTTCATGGCACTAGATCAATGAAATATGTAATCAGCGAAGTATATCATGAATTTAAAAGCTAGGTTGTAATGTTAACACAGTTCTATTCTCCAACGAATTTTTCAGATAAGAATCCCTGAATGACTTGGCCAAGACTACATGGCTAAAGTACCACATGGATCTCCCCACCCATAGACCAATGTTCCATTTAACTGTACTAAAATCATTCAAGAGGAAATTAATCATCCTGAAAACAAATTTCCTTAGTAAATTGGAGGATCATTTTATCCTTCCATGCAACCTTCATCCAACCACCAAGAAAGGAAAAGATTGGAATAAAACTAGAAGCCAAAAATTGGTCCATGACATTAAAAAAAAAATTAAACCAAAACACAAACAAACAAACAAAAGTTTCCTACTCACATGCATTCTGAATCCAGAATTGCTGACACCAGTGTGATCTTTTTTTTTTTTTTAATTTTTATCTCTCACCAATGTATTTTTTTTTTTTTGGTACTGGGGATCGAACTCAGGACCTTGCGCTTGCGAGGCTGGTGCCAGAACCACTGAGCTAAATCCCGAGCTCCCTAGTGTGATCTTGTCCTAAATATCAATCCTTACTCTGTCGGTAAAACAAAATCTCATCAGATAAGATAATTAGGGCAAACATTTCTAAACTATCATAGTTGCACTCAAATGAATGAGTGAATGAAAGAATGAATGAAAGAGTAAATCTGGTCCTAAAACCATATTGATTTTTCAAATTTCTGGTATCTTAATTAAATAATAAATTTTCTCAAAATACAACTAACTTGAAGACCTAAAATTATGTTATATGTATAAATATTCTCAATTTAGAATTTATTAATACATATGCGTATAAACTACTCTTAATAATCTCATAGGAATTTTTAAATCACCCCAAATACAATAACAACAAAAAATATCAAGTTTTTTGCTACATCAAACAACATAGCAAACATTTCCCTGCACATAATTTTATTATTAACCGTGATAAAAAGCAGACATTTCCAGAGCTACTGATGTTCAGATAATGTGTAAATATTTCTGAAATTGTGCAGGTAGCAGTGTTAGTCCACAGAATATCACTGCCAGGGGCTAAATGCTATCAAAGCTTCAGCAATTGCTAAAAACCTGTTAGCAATTGCTTACTTTTTTCTACCAAAAATATACCACAAAGTGGCATCATTCCAAGAGTTATAATGTATGATGAATACTCTTAATTATGAGAATTGTTCTAATTGTGAGATTATTTGTGTTGTTATTTCACCACAGAAGCTTTCTGGGATCCCATTTAGAATGTATTACCCAGAAGACAAAAACATCCATTGCAGAGGGGTGGGGGGACCAACAACACTGCAATAACCAGCCCAAAGCAGTTATTCAGATTCGGTGCTTATTGGTAAAGTCTGTCTGAAAGTGCAGATAAATTATCCTATCTTCCAACACATGGCTATGTGAAAAATGGCTGTCCAAATACCACTTCCTGTTCATAGTAGACATGCTATACATTGGGAATGTGCAGAGAAATATGATAAATTGTTATCACATCACTACAGGCTGAAACACGGCTATGTCTGCAAAACAGGAAGGTGTGTGAGGGATAATGTCTGTCTTTAGGCACTATAGTATGTCAAAACCACAAAGACAATGTGCAGCAAAAGATAGCTCCATCATAACCACTTTTTTATGATTGTCTTCACAGACCGAGATAAACGAAAAGCTGCAAATACAGGAAGAGGCCTTTAATGCACGAATAGAAAAACTGAAAAAGGCCTGAGGACTCCGTCCAAGGAGAGTGATGCTAAACTTCACAGAAACAGACAAAACTAGCTGGAATATAGATTCTTTAGAGCATCGTATCTTCTTCATTTCATTGTGAAAAGAAAATCGAGCCCCGCTGTTTATTGTCATAAGGATTTAGAAGAGTATTAGCCCTAATTTTGCCATCTCTTGCACCATAACAGCTTCTGAATTAATTGCACCACAGTAATAAGAATATCTGTATACAGGAGCTTGGAGAATTATAAATAAAAATACAATTACTTTTATGATAGTTCTTTGACGTTTTTACTAATAAACACTACATCTTCACTTTTTATTTTTTTAAGTAACCAGAAACAAAATAATAATAATAATAATTGTATCCATATTGACACAAATGAATTGTCACATTACTGGAACACTATGAAAAGATACTATTACTACACTACTCAGGATAAAACTTGCCAAACAATGGCAATTCAAGCCCATATAATAGGATTTTTTTAAACTTAAATCATTTGGTTTTCTTATTTAAATGTTTCAGTGTGAAACCAATTTTCTGAAATTATATAATGTAGTTTGAAGCATTTTAATTTATTCTGCACTGTATTTGTTATTTCTAATCTTGTTACTCTCCCAGGAGAATACATGACCTATATAAAAAGAAGCAATGTATAAATGGTTATTAAAGACCAACCTATATATAGATTGTAAAAAATCTTAAATACAAGTCAAACTCACAGAGCTCCTAAGATTAACCATTACATTGCAGTGGAATTATTGAAAAATATCTCAAGTCTTTAAATACCCTTGTTAAAATACAATTTTAAAACAAAAATAGCCATGTGCTGATTGTCCCTAGTTAGACAGGTTAGTTCATTACTACCTAAGCCCTTTCCAAAGTTCCTAGACTTCAGAATATTCTAAAATGGAGGCAGAAAATTGGGAGGAGACAGTTCCCTCAAGAATTTTCCAAATTGTACAATACCTGCAACTGGATGGCACTTGGCTAAATATGTACTATACACTTACCTTCTCTATCAGTATCAAAGGAACTGCCCAAAATATTTCCACATGGAAGAGAGACAGACCTAACAGCTTTTGGTAATTTTCTGACTACACTAATCTGCAAATTAAGAGTAGTCCTTAAGATAAAATCATGTTATTGTTCCTATAGCTCTCAGGCTGGAGGCCTGGAGATGTGTTTTTTCCCTGAGCTATCCTTTCTAAATAAAAGTGTTAAAGGCTATAGGAGACCACAAGAACGACTCACAAATATGGGTTCCCTCAGCAGTCTTTTCTCCAGGGGAAACAGTAAAACTGGGGTAACCAAAACCAGGGAATAAATACCCTTCTAGAAATCACCAAGCACGGTTTCAAATGAAATCATTGGCGCAGAGTGGAACTGCACTTCTCATAAAAAGTGTTTATTTGAGCAAGGGTACCAGGAGCCTATCACTGAATCAAAAAAAGCACTACAATCCCTAAATACTACATCATATAACAGACATGCTGAAAGTTGTGGCTAAGACTCTTCAAGGCTGATACTGGCTTTGCCTTTGGCTGGTGTATAACCCTACACTGGCCACTCAACTCTATTTGTTAGTCTCTTAAGTAGAGATAGTACCTGTTTTTGAGGTAATTATGAGGATTCAATAAATTCATGTTCAATGACTTTTCTTGTAAGGTTTGGTTTGCTTACTTCTTAGGATATGCAAAATGTCACACCACTTGCTCACTTGCTGGATCAGCCTCTCTGCCGGAATTCTCTGCTCCTCTGCCTCGCTCTTGACACCTATGGGTAGGTGTGTTCTCCCACTTTTTTCAGTCATCCCACAGTGACGACTCTGCCCTTCTACTGTCCTTTGTGTTTAAGTTGGAGCAACTAGGGATCTCTGGGGCAGTTCAAATTTAAGATCTAATAATAATAGGAGAAAGCAATCATGGTAGCAGTAGCCAGAAATTTTAATTCATATTCTTTGTGTTTTGAAATTCATATTGATTTGATAAAGACATATGGCTATTTTGTAAACTAAAAAACTTAAACACACACAGTGTACAATATGAAGACAATGAAAAGTAAATCTCTCCCTAGGTACGCCCTTCCTCTCCCAAGAGGCAATTAAAACTTTGCCTATTCAAACAGTTGGATGCATACTTGCATGGGTGGTGATTTTTTAAAAGCACAATTTATATTGCTTTTTACATTCTTCTATCAAATAATATTTCTGGGAGATATATCACACTGCTGCACTGCCATCATTGATCATACACCTTTGTAAATAAGTACAATATGTCCATAGGATAAAGTTACAGAAGAGGAATTTCTAGGTCAAATTGTATGTGCATTTTGAATTTTGATAGAATCAAAGGTATTCTATCATTTTGCAAACCTACCAGCCGTCCATACGAATGGCTCCCTCTACGTCATTACCAATAGCATGTACTAGCCAGTGCTTTACTTTTGTCATTCTAATAGAAAATAATTTCACAGTATTGTTTCATTTTGATCTTACTGGGTTACTGACATGGACTATTCATTTTCATATGTTCATAAGCAAATATATTTCATTATATATAAATGTGTATGATTATTTAATCCTCCTAATAGTCATGAGAAATTGACAGATGTTATTAGCCTCATTTTATAGTGAAGGAGCTTAAAGCTTACAGAGATCACTAATTTCAGCTAATTTACACAATTAATAACTGGTAGATCAGGGCTTCAAACCTAAGTCTGACCTATTTTATAGATAATGAAGCTGTAATACAGAGAAATTTTAAGTAATTTTCCCATGATCATGAATCTAGTAAGTAGTAGAATCGAGTTTTAAATTTGGACCTGTATGATTATAAAATCTACATACTTAACATTTATCTTCATCTATCCATTTCAGTTAACAAGAAATAGAGCAAAAAAAAATCATCTTTTTTTCCTTTTGGTTATGTCTTTAGCATACGAAGTATTTAGAAAATTTATGTAAGACAGACTGTATAACCCAATTATATTCATTCATTCGTGCATTTTATATTCATTGAACACCTCCAATGTGCCTGGGTATTTAGTGATGAGCCAGAGAAACATAGCCTCTACCCTAATAATCTGTTACGGTTAATATTAACTATGAAGATAAGCTTCAGGGAATTACAAGAGTATAGAATAAAGGAGCCTGGTTTAGCCTAAGATGTCAGGACGATTCCCATGGGTACTGACATTTGGGCTGGATCTGAGAGATTAGTAGAATGTAACTAGAGAGAGGAAGATAAAGGAAACCGCCTTTCAGGTAGACAGAGAAGTATATGCAAAGTCCCCTAAAACTGAGGCTGAATGATTGACCAGGGACAGCTCTTACAAGGCATAGCCCATGTTATAGATTTTTATTTTTAACCTAAAACATGGGCAATTATTAATAAGTTTTAAATAAGAGACATCAGATTAGTGTTTCTAAAACGGTCATCTTTCTGGTACCAAGACTTCTTGGAGATACGGAAAACAAAATATTCACTTATTAGCAATTTCTAGGAGTGGAATAAATACAGAAGATTTGACTTTCTTACAGTCACAGTCTACCTACACTAAGTGGTCTTTGGCCCAAGGCAGCCCTCTGAAAAGCCAATTTAAAAGATAATACCCACCTATCTCTGGGAAAGAAGCAGCCTTTCTCTTACCATCTTCAGGAAGACAATTCCTGCCTTTGCAGGAACAGTTTTAGGGAACTTTTCTCCTAACCATGATAACTCTCAAAGAGAAAATATACTCATTATGTTATGAACAAGCTAAAGACTGCCACTACTTCAAGTATTTGCAGGCACTGTTGCACCTAAATATAACTATGGAGTTATTTTTCTTTCAAAAATCTGAATATAAAACCCTATTTCTATCCTCCATTTGATTGGAACCATTCAACCATCCTGGTAGATAATAAGTTTGCATGTTCTTAGATTCCATTTCCTTATGCTTCAGTTCACCTAGAGAATAAACGTGCTCCTTTTCCCAACAACTATAGAGGCAAAATACTTCTGACATCTCAAATTTCAGTCTCAGGAAGACATCCCCCATCTCAATATCAAAGTCATTTTTTCCTGGACATTAATTTGTTAAATACAAGAAGTCAGACTCCTTCATGGCAGCCAAAATAATTATTAAATTAAGTTTCCTAAGGAAAATGATTCTAGGTCAGAATAAAACCATCTTTTGGAATTTATAAATGCTAAAACAGAGAATGCTAAAAATCCCAATTTTTTATGGGACTGCTTCCTTTTTCACAGAAGTACTAGCAATTGAGAAGATCAATGTATCATATTTGGTCAGAGTTGCTAAAGAGCTTTTTGGCACTGAATTTAAATTTAGCTTCAAAGAATGATCCATGAAGATATCTCCAATGGGTTGTACATGTGTGTGTGTGTGTGTGTGTGTGTGTCTCTGCACATTTGCATGAGTGCATTTCTTCTTTTTAATCTGACCTATCATTTATCCAGGCTACTTTGTAGGTACTGGAGTGAAATAAGACAAATATTGTATTGTACTTCATGGAATTAATAAAGCTTTTAATCTAGTGGGAAAGAATAAGCAATTGAATAAGTAGGATAATTTTATATGACAATGCAGAACACAAATGAATAATATCAATAATAGGACATAAGACCCTACCAAGGTCCCCAGTCGCACAGAACACACGCTGAATCAGGCTGCTGCAGACAGGTAGGTCTGTGCACGCCCTACCAAGGTGCTGAGTCATGCAGTAGATGCCTTATCACCCCACTGCAGGCAGGCAGCCACCTGATTCCACACTACAAAGACGCAGAGGACACCAGACCACCAGACCAAGGTACTGAGTCCCACTGTTCCCGGCCCAGAGGTAGCGGCTTCCCGGTCACCATCCCTCCCGCTGCTCCCAG